ATTTCGTCCTTAAAGTGGCGAAAATTTCACCGAAGATTTATGTTTTCATCACACAGAGCACAAACAATCTCCCCAAAATAGACGCAAGCATGCTGGGAAGATGGTAATATCCTCCTTTGATGTGCTTGTTCTTATCAGATTGACAGAGATAAACAGAGCTAGAACCTTGTGCAACCAAACTGTTTCGAGTACTTGACCATTAATTCATAAAGGGAGTAGCTTACAGGTCTTTTCAAAGAAACACCAGTAATACTTTATATTTTTTAGTATTAAGCTTCATCAGGTTTATCAAAGCCCAGGAGTTGACAGTGTCTAATGTGGACCAAATGGACACACCTTCGTTCTTCATGAGACAGTCCGAGAAGGAAACATTGTCGACATACTTCCACAAATTCGTCTCAGGAGTGGGTATAGATTAGTCATTAATCATGATGAGAAAGAGCATAGAACCCACTTAAGTTCCCTGGGGCAGATGGGCAGATGGGCAGTGACTGGCAGCCAATCTGAAAACACCTGTCCAACTTCAACACGTCTTCAGTTTAAGACGAAACCAGTGATCCATGGTATAAGACATCATCTAACGCCAAACTCTACCAGTTTTCTAATCAGCCTGTTAAGACCAACAGAGTCAAAGGCTTACAAAAAGTCCAAGAACCAAAGTCAGAGGCGTTTATTAGGTGAATCCAGTTAAGACAACCAGGTGTGCATCATGTTGAAGAGGGAGAACACGGAGGATGTACTTGTAACTGGTTAAGAGTTAATCTTATGCCTGACATCATCAGTCACCCACGTAACCACCAAATCCTCTAAAACCTTTAAAAGGGCATTAGACATATAGGTCTGATATCACCTTCAGTTGCAGGAGACTGGGTCTTTGGGATGGCGGATTTCCCACAATTTCCTCAGCAATGATTTGTCGCAAGATGTTGACAGGGAAGAAGAGCAGGCACGTGTTTCATCTAATGGGAATGCTTTTAGACCTTTTATTTGTTTGTTCTAGAAACAAACGTAAGCTAAAGCATGATGATTTGGACAACAATACAGTATGTTTTCTGTGTTTAGATAGAAGTATCTCTGTTCATGGAAGTCAAAGGGGGGGAAGTGTCTGGTCCCAAAATGACCCTATTTATTCTACCACCAAGATGGACAAAACAAAACACTGAAGAGTTGCGGCAGGTTTATATAAACAGAAAGAGCAGCAGTAGAGAACACGCCATAAAGCAATTATACTACAAACACTATACAGGAAAGAATGTGGGTTGAATGAATGACAGCCATTAGTCTCCTCTTATTGATGAATACCCAAGTGGGCAAAAAAGGCAGGGAAATGCATTATGTATGTGGCCGCCGATGTGGAAGATAAAGGTAAACTTACGGAAGCCTGTAAGGGACATTCGAGATGCGAGATAAAAATGCGAGATGCGAGATAAAAATGCGAGATAAAAATGCGAGATAAAAAAATGCGAGATAAAAATGCGAGATAAAAAAAATGCGAGATAAAAATGCGAGATAAAAATGCGAGATAAAAAAATGCGAGATAAAAATGCGAGATAAAAAAATGAGATAAAAATGCGAGATAAAAAATGCGAGATAAAAATACGAGATAAAAAAAATACGAGATAAAAATGCGAGATAAAAAAATGCGAGATAAAAAAAATGCGAGATAAAAATGCGAGATAAAAAATGCGAGATAAAAAAAATGCGAGATAAAAAATGCGAGATAAAAATGCGAGATAAAAAAAATGCGAGATAAAAAAATGCGAGATAAAAAAATGCGAGATAAAAAAATGCGAGATAAAAAAAAAAAATCGAGATAGAGTATTGCGTAATTGTCACGCCATCTCACACGTCATCTCGCAGCAAAAAAAGCATGGCCGCGGACGAAGAGGTGTCAGAGGTAATGTATGGCATACTATTCTGATTTGTAATGTTTTTTTTTTCTGAAATAAATGAACGGACAAATTGCTACAAAATCAGAAGAATAAAAGAGCGATAAATTTTTTCGGCTAAACGCCGTGAAGCTTCTTCCATCGTAATCTGAGTGTGCGCACATGTTTACCTCTTTTTAGCTTATTCAGTTCATGAAGGATAGTGGACAAGACAGCACAGTTACCGATCGGTTTCTTCTTGAAAAGGTATGTTTAATGGCGTAAAACATCAGTGAAACGTTCTGGCAATTCTGCTTTTCGTAACTTGAACCGATCGGTTTCTTCTTGAAAAGGTATGTTTAATGGCGTAAAACATCAGTGAAACGTTCTGGCAATTCTGCTTTTCGTATGTTTAATGGCGTAAAACATCAGTGAAACGTTCTGGCAATTCTGCTTTTCGTATGTTTAATGGCGTAAAACATCAGTGAAACGTTCTGGCAATTCTGCTTTTAAGCTGCAGCAGCAGAAAAATTGAGCATTGGTATATGTTATCGCATGGGATTAAGTATTAACTTCACGCTATTTTCAAAGTTTTAATAAGTAACGAAAAGTGCGATCTGGAAAACTTTGAAAATACAAGTGAAATTAATCTGTAATTGCCCGTGGGCACATTGCGATTACATGTTTGTAAATAAATAAATAAATATCCTTTATTTACCCTCGGCAGTGTTTATAGCACAAAGGCTAGTGGGGCCGAGCAAATATTAGAAACAAATAGTCGTAAATTAAACATAACAAGGTTAAAAACCCCAACTGGCAGGAGGCAAACCAGCTGGCTTTTTACAAGCGTGGCCGAGGAGTTGAACTCGGGAGTACCGTGAAGCAACTCCAGCTAGTGGTCAGAGCGGGACTTGCCGACTGATCACATAAAGGGCAAAATCTTTCACAAAGTAAAGACGAGTAGGTGGTTCGGTTAGCAACTAAATATTCATTTGACTAAAATATAACAGCGTAATAGTTGACTATAAGGGAAAGTTCATTTAATATGACAAGGGGGGGGGGGATGAAGATATTGAAACTCGAAGCTTGAAATTTTAGCAGCCCCCCTCGCTAGCAGTTCAATTTTTTAGGAGCCCCCCCCTTGGTAGTCAAAAAAATTTCAGAGCCCCCCAATTCCTCCTTCAATTCCTTTGCTCCCCTGAAAAAAGATAGCTAGACTGTATTAAATATACAGTCAGTGTAAAACGCAGACTGCGGACTGCAGACTGCGGACCTGGGGTAAAATGCAGACCGAGCATAAACTGTAGTCGTAGAAGGGTTTAAGGGCAAAAAATCCCGCAAATACATGTATTAAAGGAACACTTACTTGACGACATCTGCTTGCACAAATCCATTCAGGACTTTCTTCTCTAGAACGTCGTCGACGACCCAAAAACATAATCGCAATCTTGAAGCTTTTTTTTTTCGTCCGAGAGACCTTACGCTTCAACTTTAGACGCCAAGTTTTCGATACAAGTGACCAGGGACCGTGAATTAGTACAACACCACGATGTTTACGCTTAAATGAAAGCTGCTGAACCAAAATACTGTACAGGAAGAATTATGGCGATAAAAAGGGAGTAAATCATTCCAACAACAAAGAAAGATGTTCTGCAAGAAATTTTGATGACCTTTTATGAAAGTATTGCAAATCAAGGTACACAGACTTAAGCTGTTCGGATGTTCATAGAAACTTCTAGGGAATGTGCAATGCACTTCGACTGGGAAGTGAAGTGTTTAACTGATACCGGCTAGCTATTTCACAGATTTGGAGAAGAAGGAGCACAAATGTTTAAAAAAAAGTCTACAGTCTTTATTCTGCATTTTATCCCAGTTTGCGTTTTACTCTCAGTCTGCAGTCTCCATTTTACACTCAGTCTGCATTTTACCCCTGGTCCGCAGTCCGCAGTCTACGTTTTACACTGACCGATTAAATATATTTACGTTATTGTCTTCAATGGTTTATACTATCACAAACTTGAGATACAGTTATGATACAATTTTCTAAAGCATTTTTGGGATGAACAAGAGTGTAATAATTACTGAGACTACATTATTTTGTTATATCTGTAAACCACGTGATATAGCTGAGTTGCACAGGTCATTAAATTGTTGAGTTGAAAACCATCCGATCTGTCTGATGATGTCATGTGTTGGTTTTGAAGTATACAAATTTTCGGAGCCCCCTCCTAGCACAACAATTTTTTCAGAGCCCCCTTCGGTGTCTAAAAATTTTCGAGCCCCCCTCAATATCTTCATCCCCCCTTGTCATATTAAATGATCTTTCCCTAAGGACGGACCATTAGAAAATTGATGGGTGGGGGATGGGGAAAATACAAAAAAAAAATGCAAGCCAAAATGCCCGAAAAAAATTCATGCAAACCGAAACTGACGGAAAAAAAAAATCATTCTTGCAGAAGGAAACTGTTGATCTCCAAGGTAAAATGTTTAAGAATTGTACAGCGAAGTGAAGACAGCAAATGTTTTCCAGAATACTTTAAAAATAGTGTTTCTGAGGTGCTGGAAATCAAATTTTCTCCGGGGGAGCATGCCCCTGGACCCCCCTAGTTGTTATGTTTGGACAACATCAACTCAAAATCACTGGAATATGGTCCACAACCAGTAACAAAATAATTCACCGGCATTATGACGGTATTTTTGATTTACTTTGATTTTAGGAAGTTTACCTATAAAGCACTATGTGCGATGTGAACATAGTAAATCACTCACAACACATTTACTAACTGAAAGCGGTTTATTTATATTCACCTTTATTTGCGAGGCTCGCTCGCTGTGTCCGCGTGAAAATACTGCTACGATGAAAATATCCATCTTTGCAGTGTATATCTTGCCAGCAGTGTTCCTATAACAATAAAAAGGTACATGTACCTTTTTCGAGGTAGGATAGGTTATAAACAAAAACGCGAAAAAGGTACCTTTTAATTGTATGAAAAGTGCCAAAAAACTTCAAGGTAACTTACTAGCGGTTTTATAACATATCCTCCATGTTTTAGAGTTTTGCTTTTTTCTTTCTCTTTCTCACGGGCGGTACCTCGCACGGGTAAGGTGTCCCGTTAGCACAGGCCCTTTTCGGATAGCTATTTTATTTGAAATACCCAATACAGCTTTTAAAATAAAAATAATAAAACCTGTCTTATTATATTTTTTTCTGTACTTCAGATTGATAAATCATCAGTCTTAATGATGTCAGATAAGCAGCTAGAAGAATTAGGTGTCAAGGCAATGGGCGACCGACTACGTATTCGAGCATTTTGTGAAAGAAAGTCGAAAACAACAGTCGAACAGAAGAAGCGACAAGACGCCGTTGACAAGCTGAAAAGCATGCTTGGCCATCAAAGGGCCTCCAAAAGGAGTCACGGGCGCGAATCGTTCGAGAAAAAGGAAAAGAAAATGGCCAAAACAGCTGTTAAATTCCAATTTGGTTGGAAGCACTGGTGTACAAGAACTGAAACATTTAGACAAAAGAAAAAGGGAAGCGGAGGCGGAACCAGGGTTGTAGACATACCTAAGGTTGCAAGTGCCGACGAGTGCTTGGGAATAGCAAAAGAATTATTCTTTCCACTGGGTGTCAGTCCCGAAGGATCGCAGGATGAAATGGATTTGTCCCTTGGTGATTTTAATGGTTGTGGTGTTACTGACGTTAGGGTCGATGGCGAGTTGCTCCCTTTTACTGCCGAGCGATACAAGGCAGCGACCGGCTTTACCAAGCCTCGATTGTACCTGTTGTCCAAAGAAAAGCTGCCATACGACTCTGGCGATGAAAAAGATTTGCTTCGCGCTATGATACCTTCGCGTGATGCTTCTGAGGGTGGAAATGGCTCGTCGCAGCTCATTGGCACATCGAAAGAGAGAGAAGAGTATCGTAATAAGCTTGCTCTGGAAGTAGCCGCTTCACTTAAGCAAGACCAAGCGAAAGATGCAATTAACAAAGAGATCGTTAGAGCACAAGAAGAAGGAGCCCAGTTAGAAAGGTTGCGGCGATCACGTTCAAAAAGCGAGTCTTACCAGAGGCGGAAGAAGACGGAAGTTTTCTACTTGTTAGAGTCAGACACACCAGCCTTGGTATAGTTACCAGACGCTTCCCAGTTGATGCAGCGATGTGGAATGTGTACGACTGGATAGGGTCACTGAGCTGCACTCCTAAGTACTTCTCCCTCTCAAAGGAGCCTAAAGTGCCAATATCTCCTGCTGAAGGTGTGCAGATCAGCCATTCGCACCTTCTTACCATGACTGTGGAAGACGATCCGTTACCCTTAATCGAAGATGACGGCGAAGTTGCGTTCCACGGATACCATCTGGGTGATGAAACGCTGGGGACACCTTAACAGACGAAACCGAAGATACCAATGTTACTCATGGAAATTTAAATAATACTGAGACCAATTCCAGGAGTCTGACAAAGCTGACCAAGGAGATGAACATAGTTTGGCCGAAGTAAACGACCAGACTTACCAAGTGGCGCGGGTTGAACCTGATTTGCCAGAGGTATTCATGGAGGGAGACGAAAGCGTGGAAGTCGAAGCACATTTCCACACCTTACAAGCCCGAAGAGGGAAGAAGAGTTACAAAGGTACCACATAACTGTGGATAAAAACAATGTTGTTAAACAGCTCCTCGAGATGTACCGTGAAGACGAAGCAATTTCAAGCAAAAAGTTAGTGGTCTCCTTCGAAGGTGAACAGGCAAATGGTGATGGGCTTCTACGAGAACTCTATTCCCTTTTTGGGAATCGTTCTTCTCACAATATTGCGAGGGCAGTAATCAGTACACCCTTTGCGTTTCGCCTAATCTTTTGGAGGAAGACTTCGTCGCACTCGGACGCCTCATAACTCACATGTTTATTCAGTGTGGAACATTCCCGTAAAATTAGTAAAGGCGTCAATGTATCAGGCGCTTTTTAAAGAGGTGTCCGATGAGATCATCCTAGAATCATTCCTTCGCCTACTGCCGCCTGTAGAAATGAAACTGCTGTCTGATGTTCTCGAGGGCAAGATAGCGTTATCGTCTGTTCAAGATGAAGTAATGGATATTTTTGACGAATACCATCAAAGAACCCCGCCAACAGCATCCAACTTACAGGAAACCCTTGTCAAGATTGGAACTTCCGAGTTTGTCACCAAACTGTTTTTGCCGCTCTTGAAAATCAGAGAAGGAATGGGTAATTTCTGGGACACCGTAACCGAAGAGGAAATAGATTCTATCTACGAGCTCTGCACCCCTTCGCCCACTCGGTCGTCAAAATTCTCCACATCGTGCCACTAAGTCCGAAAGAAGCAAAGGTTGAAAGATGGTTACGACGGTATCTGAAAAGAAGCGGACTCCATCACGTTGGCCCTATTTCTACGATTTTCTACAGGGAACGACATGGTGTTGCCAGGAAGAAAAATCAAGGTTCGCTTTGAAGACATGGCTGTCCTGGCAACAAGACCGACGGCCCGTACATGTTTTCAGGTACTTACTCTACCGCGAAACTACCAAACGTACCACCGACTGAGAGAAAATCTGGATTTCTTTATTAAGAATCCATCGCTTTGGGATCTTGAAGACTGAAAGAGACGCAAAGTCGGCAGGGAAAGTACCAGTCACCGTTTGTCAAAGGTGCATTTAACAGTGGCACAGGATATAAATTAATGTGACTAACAGTGGGAGATGAACATTTCGGATTGCAAATAGTTCCGTTTTTGAATACATACATTTGCAAGAAGTGAGAAAAACTGCTGGGTGTTTTGTGGTGTTGTTTTGTTTGGTTAGTTTTTCAGCGGATGTTTGCAACTGTGACTCTGTGAGATGAACTTTGTTGTGTTTTAGATATTTAGATCAGTTGTTCACCAATTAATTCTGCATGATAATGTTCAATGTGTGAATTTTGCTAGCTAAATAATCATTTGTGAAGGATTTCTTACTTTTTGGTGTGTCTACGCACACCAACTTCACGACTCATTGCCCGTTGGCAATGAGGTATGGTACATAAAACATTGAGGTTGTCAGATGATTTCGTTCACGTGAATCACTTTCTGCATAATCAAGCTATCTATTCGTTATTCTCCTTTGACACTGCTTCCGTTAACTTCAGAGCAGAGATTACTGCTTATTCTTCACTGATTGTATGGAAATTCTTCGTTAACATTTCCTAGAACGCATTGTTAAGACCTTAAATAAAATGTTGTGTTACCTTTCCCTGAGTTGCCTTTTCTTGGTTCGGTAATGGATAATTGTCGGCAAAATGTAGATATTAATGCCACTTACGGTATTAATATTTTCCGTCTGAGAAACTTCCAACACAGTGGACGTCAGGTGTGCATTTGGGTTTGTTTTATTTATGGCCCACTCTCCCTCCTCCCGGGGGTAGGCCCAGAATATTTTTGGCTAGGGGTGTGCCGCTGGGACTTTGATACCCTTTACCCATACCAGACCCAATAAGCTTCATTTTGTAGCCCTATTCTAGACCAAACGTCTCTTATTTGTATATCCTATTCTGGACTTAAGGTTGTTAATAATTACTAAAGTTTTTTAGAGACCCAGTAGCGCGCGTAACGACGTAAATATTGCTCTCGGATTAAAAACGGGCGCGAGCAACTCTCAAAAAAGCGAAAACAAGTTGCGTAACTTTTATCACGTTAAACAAACTTGGAAGAATAACGAAAATTTCAAAATATCTTCGAAAAAGGTTTAACAACATAGGGCGAAAAAAGGGATAAAAAAAGAAAGCTAGATAAACAACCCGCAAAAGAGTTTTAGTTTTGCCTTTCTTCATCGCACGCGACGCATGGCCTGACAAGAGTGCGCCCTCAACGACGGTGTTATGTGCATGCTAACTTATATCCCCAGGGGGGACGGGTGGAGTAAATGCACCCCTCCCTAGGAATTTTGTTCTGTTAAGGCACAGCGAATCAATTGTACATTGAATAGAAAGCAACCTCCTTCCCAGGGCTTTTCTCTCCTTTGAAAAAGGGAAAAACTGGGAACGAGGTTGAATAGAAAGCCCTCAGTCAATCCCAAGTCCAGAGTCTCTTCGGCTCGGTGTCAGCGGATGGTCGCCGGGGAGACTCTGGGAAAAAAAAACAATGGATCTGCACGATCTGCACGCCAAACGAAATATCAACTTCTGGGGTTTACCGACATCAGTTTTTAAATAGACTGTGCTTTTTTTCTCTAGGCAAACGAATGAGACGATTTTTTATGGTTTCATTCACTGATCTATTTCTGTACATGTTTCACACTGTTTCGCTTGTGTTGTTTTAACAAAAAGCAAAGGCTAAACGATTGCTTGCAAAAGATAATATAGTGTGGTAAACAAGATCTTTCCTTCTTCTGCATCTCTTGGCATTGTCAAAGAATGGTCGGACATGAGCATTTGCAAAACATCGGAAAACTCGCTCCGGCATCCAAAGACATCTCGCTTTTTACAGAAGTTTCTTTCTGCTACTTCCAGGTCATCCAAATCTACAGGAGTCTTGAAATCAGTGGTGCCTGAAAAACATCATCATCATCATCATCGTCATCATCATCATCATCATCATCATCTAATAATTTAAGAACACGCAGCTCTCAGATGCAATCGGTAACCGCTTTCATTCAGGTGCGACAGAAACATGTAACGCGGTCATATAAGTGTGAAACTATTTAAGTTTAAAGACGAGTTACTTGCCTTTAAGTTCTGGGATAAAGAACAAAACGTCAGGTTTTCCAGGATGGCTCTCTTGGTTAGGATATGGTCTTATCCTGTGTGTGTTCCAGTGTCTTGCAACTCGGTGCAACTCCTCTTGTAACAAGCCAGTAAAACAAAACTGCAGACATGCTCTGGAACGCAATAATTAGAAAAACATAATTTAAAGTTCAAAATAGACAAAGCTGCCTTTTAAGAAATAAGAACTTATTAGTCGACGACTCTTGGTTGTTATAACAATACAAAATTATGGATGATTATGTCAAGAAAAACGTACAGCTATTTGGATAATTATGGTAAAATATTTAAACAGCAATAACAATCATAATTAAAATAGCTGTTACTGATATAATGACCATCATCATCATGAAAATCATAATTTGTATAGCCCGGTCAGACCCGAACAAAAGGAATCACCTACAAGAGAAGATTTTTTTTCCATTTTGTTTAATCAAGGAGCAAGTAAGCTAAATCAGGCGTACCCTAAATTAAACCAACCAGCAACACCAGCTGAATAAGGCTGAGAATTAGTATATGAAGAAGGCTATCTGCCTTATTCCCAGCATTGCCTGTTCCTCTTTTTCTAGTCTGGTAAATATATATATATATATATGTTAAATAAAGAAAACACTTTTACATTTGTAGGGGATCACTGTCATCATAAACTCCAGTGTCTCTTAGATCCTGCCGCAAAACAAAACATTACAATGAAATTAAATAAAAAGTTTTAATATAAACGCTCAGATTCAGGTTTAATAAATGATTGTTTTTCACAAGCTCTGCTGAAAAGTCTGAAAGTGCTTTAATTTCATCCCATTTGATCTGTTTTATAAAACTCAGATTTAAAGGATTATGGTTATTAGAAACAGATGAGCATAGACCAATGTCTTATGATCTTTAAAAACGTGACTACAAAAAACAAAAATGTTTGCCATGTAACGCCTCTTTAATATGATCATGAGTTGCACTGGCTACCCCTTCTTACTAATCGTCTCTTATTTCTCTTACGCCCCGATCCAAATGTAATCTAAGGGTCCAAGATAGGATATTTCAGTGATAAAGTTTTACTTGCCTTATTACATGAAATCTTTGCGACACTTAATTTACGAAAAAAACTCGCTACATAAAAGTGTCACTAAAAAAAACGATTCTTCAAAATAACTTAATAAACGTGCCGCTAAAAATTCATGTAATAAATTGCATGCCCGCGTTTTTAATCCAGAGCTACAGTAGGTGCATTTTCTTTTTGGGAATGCGCTACCATTTGAAATAAGAAGCACACAGTCAGTATTTTAAATTCACCTTTACCTCGTCATGCATTTTTGTTACCGTTGTTTTTCATTATTGTAAGTTAACTTTTAATTTTAATTATAACTTTTCTTAAAATAATTGAATGAAATTCGCCCTGAAATTCGCGCATTATAAATATAATTATATTATTGTTAAATTATTATACACCGGTAAGCTAACGTTGTACGCATATCTTAATTACCTTAAAATATTTTATCCACCAGTCGGCATTCGATTTTTCTTAAAACGGACCACCAAGCCTCAATTCTCTAGATAAAATTAAACACCAACCGAGTAAAACTGAATATACGTCGAGGGTAGCTACAAGGTGTCTATTTTCTCTTGCTTTGAATGTATCTAGGGACTCGCATTATGCATTTGGTGGTTTTCATTTACATTGCAAAAGTGTTCCTTATAAGCTCATTAATTTCTTAGCGATTTACCTGGTTAGCAGGGGATGTGCCATACATAAAGCTGTTTTCTGCTGCAAAGACGTCATCAGCATTAGAGCGAAAATACCTTTGAAGGCCAGCTGTAACTACATTTTCTGTACCACAGTCAGCCCTGACAATTCGAGGAGCACCTTGTTGAAAAAAAAAAAAGAAAAGTAATCCAAATTTAATCAACGTTTGTAACTAATAATAATAACAAAAATAATAACAATAATAATTATAATAATAACAATAATAATTGTAAATAATAACAAAATTATATTAACACTTCTTGCAGTTAAGAACTGAAAAACAGTGCAATTTTAATACAATAATAAAGATTGGTATTTACGATGACAAAAATGAAACATTAACGAAATTACGAGAACCTTAAGTAAATTTAAAAATGGCTCTCTAATACGTTGAATAACAACACTAAATAGCTTTTACTGTTCCTATTGAAGTAGTGCTTATTTAATTTAAACTATGCTGAAGCGTTATTATACAAACCTTCTATCTGACGAACACAATCTAAATAGTACTGGCCAACAATGGAAGGATCATTATTGGTGGAGGTCACTTCCAGCCACATTATGCGTCGTGAGTACCTAAATGTTTGGAATTACATGTATTTAGCAAGTGGAAATGCTGGAAATGCTCGAATTAGCGCATTGGGCGCTTATTTAATTTTCGACGCCGAGGGGGGGGAGTGCTTATTTGAACTAGGGCGCTTATTGGAAGGGGTGCTTATTCGTTTATCAGTTTTTACCTCATCCGATGACACCATCTTTATTTCTAGTTACTGTATCATATAAATACTCGAAAAACGTTTTACACGACGCAGGCTAGGTGAACGTGAATCGGGCAGTTTTTCTTCAGGGTCTGGAAGGGGTTTCGCTTGATCCGTGAATTGGCCATTATTTTACCAAACTGGGACAGTAGCTGGTGCAACAAGGGCGACTATCCGACGAATTTCGTTGGTCATTGGAGCTTAAAATTCACTGCTTTGTTCTATTAAATTTACCCGTGTTCAGAAAGATTTTTATTCGCCCATTTGGGCTCCTTGCTCAGAAACTTGGTCGCCCAGACAAGAAACTAAAAAGCACCCGCCGCGCCTGTTAGGCAGCAGGCTTGTATCTTGCTGAGTACCGAACCTCGTTTTACGGAGGGCTTGGGGGCTTATTT